CTGCCTGACTTAGGAACACCTATTTTACCTTAATCTACATTTGTGATTGATTGGCACCCTCGTTATCTGCTGGTCCCCATCCTTATGGAACAGAACACTCTGGGAAGGTCTGGTTAGCTCTTCCTGGCCTTGGGACCCACATCTTGCAGCTGCATTTTGTTATTTTGGTTAGATATTTGTTATATTTGTTTAGATTTAGATATCTGCTTCTAAAGTGACCCCCTCATCCAAAATGGAGTCACCTCTGTCATTGCTTCTCTTACACTATCTCCAAAATACCCAACACAAAAAGGACTGGTAGAGTGGCTCAAGTGGTAGAGCACCTACCTTGAAAGCATTGGGCCTTGAATTCAAACCCCAGTACTTAAAAAAAAAATAAAAAAAAAACAGGAGGGGATTTCATTGTAATCATTCCATACATGTGTACAGAAATGTTGAACAAGGTCACCCCTCCATCATATTCCCATTCCCCCATCCTTCTTCCCCCGCTTTCAAACATAGACTGGTCTTGAACTCACAAATCTCTGCCTGAGCCTCATTTTTTTTTTTTTTTCCTTTGCAGTACTGGTGTTTGAACTCAGGGCCTCATACTTGCTAGGCAGGCACTCCTCTGTCACTTGAGCCACTCCACCAGCCCAGCCCAGAGATCATGAGGAACACAGTTCAAAGCCAGCCCAGGCAAATAGTTCATGAAATCCTATCTTGAAAAATCCCATCACACACACACACACACAAAGAGTGAGACACTCTTCATGGACTGGCTCAAGGTGTAGGCCCTGAGTTCAAACCCCAGTACTGAAAAAAAAAAAAAGAGTAAAGCAAGCACAAAGTTTATTGAAAGAATAGTAAAGCACCCTGTGATGGGTGGGCTTAGTGAAAAAGGCTAAGCCAAGGAATGGCTGAAGTCTAGGACCGACACAGGGCTCTGCCTGACTTAGATCCACCTATGCTACTTTGAAAGTAGTTTGTGATTGGATGTTGGATGTCATTTTAGTTGACTTCTTGCTGAACTCGATCACCTGGCCCCCCATCCTTATTGAACTGGACATTCCAGGAGGATCTGGTTAGCCTGTCCTGGCTTCGAGGCCCACACTTTACACTTCAGAGCTTTTTAGACCTTTTGCTATCTTGGTGAGACAGTCACTGTTTTACTTTCCTCAAGGAGCCTATTTCTCAGCTATTTTTTTTTTTCTTTTGGTACTGGGGTTTGAACTCAGGCCTACACCTTGAGTTACTTCACCAGCCCTTTTTTGTGATAGGGTTCTTCAAGATAGGGTCTCTTGAACTATTTGCCCTGGCTGGCTTCAAACTTCGATTCTCGGGCTGGGATGTAGCTCGGTGATACAGCACTTGCCTAGCATGCATGAGGCCCTGGGTTAGATCCCAGCACTAAAAAAGACAAAACAAAGCAAAACAAAACAAAACAAAAAAAACTTCGATTCTTCGATTCTCCTGGTCTCTGTCTCCTGAGTAGCTAGGATTACAGGCATGAATCACTGGCACTGGCGGCAAGAAGATCTCTTGAGATCAAGGCCCAACCTTGCTGTAAAGCAAAAGACCATTATAAAAGAAAGCAAAAAAAAAAAAAAAGGCATTGAGCTGTCACTAGGCAATAGGAATTTTCCATCTCCTTTATAATCATTTTTTTTCTTCGTAGACTTGGAGTTTGAATTCAGGGCTTCACACTTGCAAACTGGCATGGCTTTGGGTTTTGTTGGAGATGGGGGTCTTGAGAACTATTTGTCTGAACTGGTCTCCAGCCACAATCTTCCAGATGTCAGCCTCCCAAGTAGCTAGGAATATACACGAGCCATCAGTGCCAGGCCTTGCTCTACTTTCTTTTCTTTTTCTTTTTTAAATTCATTTATTCACATGTGCATACATTGTTTGGGTCATTTCTGTCCCCTGTCCCCCTCCCCCACCCTCTCCCCCCTTGCTCTACTTTCTAGGAAGATAACTATTGCATTTCATTTTTCCAGTGCTGCTAATCTAATCAGCCCTTGTGGCCTTGGCTGGCACAGAGTCCTAGTTAGGAGGATCGTGTCACCGGGTGGTGCATGGGAACCACAACTGGGTAGTTTTTCATGTCTGAGATAGAAGGCCAGGAGACTCAGCTAGGAGACACCTGTGTAGAGGCTCAGAATATGCCTGGCTTTGGGATCAGGCCGGCCACCTGTGGACTCTTACTGTATGACTTGAGACAGTTGTGATGGTGGTCTGGTCTCAGGTGTCCTGCAGTAGTTGCCAGGAACTTTGTCTCAGGCAATCAACAGTGAAAGTCACAGACAACAGGGCGAGCAAGACAACAAAGTTTTATTTAAGCAGAGAGAAGAACAGAAAAGCTCCCATATACATGGAAGTGTCTCCAAAAGGCTAAGACTTCAAGACTCTGTCCAGTTTTTATAAGGGTTTTATTTTCTGGTTAAAGGGAATAGTTGTGTCTCTGTGCTATTGGTCCATTCAGGGGAAGTACATCTGTGCCAGCTCATGCACATAGTATAGGGGCACTGGGTATACCACCCCTTGCCAATGATCCTGAGGTCTGGCTGGGCAGCCTATCAGGACCTAATTCATGTGCTGTTCACATGCCTTTAGCAGTTTCAAGGCCTGAACGAGCGATTTCAAGATTCCCCACTCCTCACACCTGTTTATCTCAACTCCCAGGCTTGCAGCAGTCTCAAGGCTTCTCAGCCTTCCATGGAGAGTCCCCACCCTAATCTTCCTGACCAATCCTTACCTCCTAGCTTCCAGTCCCACAGTTACATCTCTAACCAACAGCACCCCCAAGAGACAGTTATGAATAAAACTGGGCTGGAGGAGGGGTGTAGCTCAAGGAAGGAAGGCCTGTTTAGGATGAAGGAGGCTTGAAGTCCAATCCCCAGCCTCACAAAAACAAAGAAACAAATAGTTGCTTCTTCAGGGTAAGGACTTAATCACATACATGTACATAGTGTTCTGGGCTCTTTGACACAGAGTAGGCACTCATGATTTTTTTTTTTTTTTGCGGTTACTGGGGTTTGAACTCAGGGCCTACACCTTGAGCCACTCCACCAGCCCTATTTTTTGTGAAAGGTTTTTTCAAGATAGGGTCTCAGGAACTATTTGCGCAGGCTGGCTTGGAAATGAAATCCTCCAGATCTGTGCCTTCTGAGTTGTCGGGACTAGAGACCTAAGGTGACACATAACACAGGCATGGGCCACCTGTGCCTGGCCAGATTGAGCATTCTTCTCTTTCTCTGAACCTTCTTTTTGTTGGGGCTGGAGACCTAAGGCCGATGAGTGAGTATCCCATGCCCCATGGAGAGTCATATCATCCCTGCATCCTGAGGAGATGGAGGCCTGCATTTCTGCAGCCTAAAGGAGAGACACAGAGTCTGACAGATCTGCCACAGGGTTGATGAGCAAAATGCTCTCAAGATTGCTTCCCCTCTGCCAATAAAGGTGCAAACCAAACCAGTTCACCTGAGAAAGCCTGCGAATCCATGGCCAATGAGAAAAACCTACCTAACCCAGGGTTAAAACGTCCATAAAAACCCCAGCCTCCACCTGAGCAGTGAGCCACCGGCTTCCAGGCTCCGCTGCGCTTCTCTAGCTGTGGCCTTTCCTTTCTCTAATAAATCCTACTCTATATACCGGCTTGGGCCCATCATTCAGCTGCCTCACGAGCCAGTTCCCTGGCCTGTGAAGACAAGGACCCTCGACAGGGCAGGTAACATTTTCAACTGCAAATACGTTCACATTACTCATGCCCTAGCCCAGGGACAACTCAAATCACCACTACTGTAATCAAGGAACCATCCATGCCCTTCCCTACACATCAATCATCAATTATTGGTGATCAAGAGAAGGCTTTAAGAGTACCTGGAAGCCTGGCACAAGTGGCTCACGCCTGTGATCCTAGCTACTCAGGAGGCAGAGATCAGGAGGATCACAGTTCAAAGCCAGCCCAGGCAAATAGTTCTGAGAGACCCTATCTCACAAAAAACCATCACACAAAAAGTGCTGGTGGAGTGGCTCCAGTGGTCGAGTGTCTGCCTAGCAAGTATGAGGCCCTGAGTTCAAACCCCAGTGCCACCAAAACAAACAAGCAAAACACCTAGAAACCTGAAGAGTGTTTTTTTTTCTTTCTGCTTCTGCCTCATACCTGGCCCACCATGGCCGTTTATAACTTTCTCCCTACCCTTTAATATTGCCTCCCTTACGGTTAGCAGCGGTGGTGCAGTCCCCACATGTCCTGCCATGGCTTCTTCCCCGTGGTATACAAAGAATTTGGAGGTCTTCTGATCACAGACTGCACCACTGCCATTAGCATTACTACGTCCTTGGGTCTCGCCTGGATGCTTCCATGTAGGGCAAAAGACTCTGGGAATCTTTGGGCCTCCTAATATTACAACCCCACTTGGGATCTACGTATGAATATTTTTTATGATCATTTCATTCAGGCAAAAACTGGGATCAGGAGACGAGTTCTTGGATTCAGAGCGCATTTCCTCTCTCCGGTGGGTGCGCCTGGACACTCCGCCCGCCTTGAGCCCCTTAGGCCTCCGAACTCTGCTCCCCACAACGCAGTGCCTTCAGCAGTTTCCCGCCTCGCCTCTGCCGGGCCGCTCAGCGCCATCTTTGAACCTGGAACCCGTGCTTCACTTCTTCACTTCTCTTTGCCCAGGAGGAGCTCCGCCTGCCCCAAGCATATCCCACCTGGGAAAACTGTACTCAAAATCAGTCACGCATGTCGTGTAGACGGGTAGAATCATTCATTTTTTTGTCTTCTGTGGCTTGGGGAAAGCTCTGTGACCAATTCAAAAATGGCGCCGCCATCTTCAACTTCCCTTCTTCCGCTCACTGAGGCGCGGGGAGCCGAGGTCGCGTCTCAGTGCGCCGGCGCGAGAGGGCGGGGCCGTCACCAAGGCAACGCGCGAGCAGCCCCGGCGGCTCTGTGGGGCGGGAAGCACCGGTGCTGCTACGCTGGCTGCTGGCGGGGCTGCGAGTGCGGAGGGGACTGGGCGGCCCGGGCCGATGCAGGACGAGACCCTGGGCGTGGCGTCCGTGCCCTCGCAGTGGAGGGGCATCCAGGGCATCCGCGGGGAGACGGTGAGGGCGCGGGCCCCGCAACGGCAGTCCCGGGCGGGAAGGTGGGGGCGCAGCGCGACCGCCTGGCCAGGCTAGACGTCCATCGTTTTGTTTTTGTACTTTAATCGATAAAAACTAGCCCGGGGGAGGGGGACGGGGGATGCTCTCGGCCCGGACTTTCCCGTCTTTGAAGACAGAAAGTTCCAAGGACCCCACGTTTTGAAGGATTTTGCGAAGTTTTTAGGCATTTCAAACTAGCTTTGGTGTTTTTAGAAAAACGTCCAAACTGCACCTTAAGGCTTCGGCAACCCGGTGTTCTAGCCTCTTAATGAAAAGCTAGGTACATGAGACGAGGGTTTGGGTGCAGATTTGAGCCCCTGGGGGCTGGGGATTCATCAGGGAAGGAGATGGACATGCTCCCCTCCTGGGGCTTAGCTGGGGTTGCAGGGGATAGGTAATAAACAATCTGTCAAAAGTGAATTACACAGCGTGCTAGCAGATAAACAGTGCCACGGACAATGGAAGGCAGAGGCTGAGTGGGTGGGTTGCAAGGTGGGTCTCATTGAGCAAAGACTTGGAGGAGTGAGTCAGCCGAGTGTGTACCCTGGGTAAAACAGTCCAGGCCAAACAAGTGCAAGTGCAAAGCCTCTTTGGGGGTTGTGGCAGGTCTGTTTGAGGAGGCTTGATGGAACTGGAGAAGACTAGTGATGAGAGAGGCAAATCAAGACTGGCCTTGCACAACCTCTAAGTAAAGTGTAGGCATTGCATCTGCGTGAAAATAACTAACTTTGCATGGGACTGTGTGTTTCCCGGACAAGGAAAAACTCAGGTTGTTGAATCCACAAGTAGCCTAAGTCCGCACCACTGCCAATGCTGCTTTCATGAAATCTTGCTCTTGAGGTCTGCCTGGGCCTACCAGTCTGCAGGTCTCAAGCCCAGATCTGATCTGCCTGCATGCCAGCATTTCCCACTTGTCTGCTGCATGGCTATAAGGGTTCCAGTCAAAAGCAAAGGCTGGACGGCAGCCAGTGGCTCGCGCCTGTAATCCTAGCTACTGAGGAGGCAAAGATCAGGAGGATCAGGGTTCAAAGCCAGCCTGAGCAAATAGTTTTCGAGACCCTACCTCAAAAAAACTCACAACAAAACAGGGCTGGTGAAGTGGCCCTGAGTCCGAACCCCAGTACCACAAAAAAAAGAAAAAAAAAATTTAAAAAGAACTGTTTGCTCAGGCTGGCCTTGAACCATGATCTTCCTGATCTCAGCCTCCCAAGTAGTTAAGATTACAGATGTTAACTACCAGTGCCCAACATCCAATTTGATTTTATTTAACCAGCTAGTTCCTTTTGATGAACTGTTCAGATGTTTCCGTTTTTCTCTGTTATCAAGGAACTCTTTGATGAATGTTGTAACTGGAGTTTTACATAGTTTCTTTATTTGGTAAGTTCCCCTGGAAAAGGTGGACATTGCAACATTGTAATACACTTCTGCTTCAGGAATGGATTTAAAAAAGAAAGGAATAATCTGACTTTTCTCACCCCATGCTAATCTATTCGGAGAGGACAGGGTCCCGGACCTGGGTTGAGAAAATGTTTGAGGGTGGTGACTTACTAGGGGCTTGGCTCTGGGCAGTTATGTGACTTCTCTTCTGCAGAGTGGGTTCTTGTGGGATTGAGATCCTTTCAGGGGGAGGGGTTTCTGAGAATTGGCACCAGCCCAGGTGTGTGAGTTGGAGATCTTCTACCCACTGGATGCCCTACTTCTTTTAATTTTTTTTTTGCTATGCTAGAGTTTGAATTCAGGGCCTACACGTTGAGCCATTCCACCAGTCCTTTTCTGTTTTGGGTTTTTCAAGATAGGGTCTCTCAGAACTATTTGCCCAGGCTGGCTTTCAACTGTGATTGTCCTGATCTCTGCCTGCTGAGTAGCTTGGATTACAGGCGTGAGGCCACCACACCTGGCTAGAATGTTTGTTTTTAAAGATGCTTCCTTGTCTCCCTTCTCTAGGAGAAAGACCGCTGTATTTTATTATCTTGGTGAGAGGCCTGCTCCTCCTGTCTTCTTAGATGTTGGCTTTTAAGAATGCCTTCTGTCTCCTTTATCTAACACCAAGTTACTTCTGCCATTTGTTTCCTTTACATTCTCAGAGCCATTTCTGCCATTTATTTCCCCTCTCAATAACACTTGTTGAATTCAGCATGCTCCCTAAAGCAAGATGCAGCTGGGCACTGGTAGCTCACGCCTGTAATCCTTGTTACTCAGGAAGGGAGAGATCAGGGTCTTGAAATTCAAGGACAGTCTGAGCAAACAGTTTGATAGACGCCCCCATCTCCAAAATAATCATAGCAAAATGGACTGGAGGCTGGCTCAAGTGGTTGAGTGCCTGCTTTGCCTGATGCAAGGTGCCTTTTGTTCTGTTCTAAAAAATTGTGGTCAAGAAAAATAAATAAGTAAATAAAAAGAACAACTAAATAATTGTGGTGGCCATGCATGTATGGCGGTGCACATGGGTAATCCCAGCATTTGCAGGCTCAAGGATGAGAACCATGTGTTTGAAGCCATCCTGGGCTATATAGCAAGATACTGTTGCAAAAAACCAAAAGTGGCAGAATCTAGACAAAACAAAACAAAAAAATGATATGAGTGTAAAACAGGGGACTCTTTGGGGGGAAGTTGGTGGGGAGCATTCTGATCAACGTACTTTAGTTTTTTTTCTGGTGGGATTGGGGGAGTTGAGGTCAGGGCTTTGCACTGGCAAAGCAGGCACTGTAGAACTTGAGCCATGCCTCCAGTTCATTGCTCTGGTGTTGGAGATGGGGTCTCTCGAAGTATTTGCCCAGAACGGTGATCCTCCTTCTATCTAGCTCCCATGTAGCTAGGATTACAAGCATGAACCACAGGTGCCTGGCTATGATGGAAGTTCTTTATATCATGTAGGAAAATAGAATAATGAAATTTGTTAAGAATTGGATAGAGAAGAGGGAGTCAAGAAAGAGCAATAGAGCAGGTGAATTTTTTTTTTTTTTTGGTGGTACAGGAGTTTGAACTCAGGGCCTCAAGCTTGCTAGTTAGGTGCTCTAGCACTTGAGCTGCTGCTCCACCAGCCCTTTTTTTGTGATTTTTTTTTTTTTTTTTGAGATGGGGGTCTCACAAACTATTTGCCCAGGTTGGCTTTGAACCAAGATCCTCCTGATCTCTGTCTCCTGAGTAACTAGGATTACAGGCATGAGCCTGGCTGCCAGCAGTTTTTTTTTATGCTTGGTATTTTTTTATGTGTGTCTGGGTACTGGGGTTTGAACTCAAGGCCTCAGGCTTGCTACGGTGCAGCGACCACTTCTACCACATTGAGCACTTTCTTGCCAGTCCTGTTGTGTTGTCGGGTATTTTCAAGATAGGGTTCTTGTGAAATATTTGTGCAGGGCTGGCCTCTGCTGCTTTTAAGGAGTGCTGGCTGCCCACCTGAGGGCCCCAGTGCTCTTCTCCCTGTCTCCATTCTCCATGCATCTTTGGCCCTCATAGTTCTGCAGTGCATAGCACCCCCTGCTGGAGCGTGTGTGCTTTTAAGCTGGGGTGTGGACTTCAAGGAGAGTTAAATCTGTGGTTCTCAACTTCTGAAGTGTGCTAGGCAGGTTTTTTTTTTCCTTTTTTTTTTTTTTTGGGTGGTACTGGGGTTTGAATTCAGGGCTTGCTTGCTAGGCAGGTGCTCTACCACTTGAGCCACTCCACCAGCCCTTTTTTGTGTTGGGTTTTTCCAAGATAGAGTCTTGCAAACTATTTGCCCTCAGCTGGCTTTGAACCACGATCCTCCTGATTTCTGCCTCCTGAGTAGCTGGGATTACAGGAGTGAGCCACCAGCATCTGGCTCTTCTTAAGCATTTTGTTTCCTGCTGTGTGCTAAGTACTTGGACAGTGCCTGGCAAGTGGTGCTTAGTGTGTGTGTGTGTGTGTGTGTGTGTGTGTGTGTGTGTGTGTGCGCATTCATCTATGTGTCAAACCCCATGCTAAGTTCTGGATGCAGAGATAGGTCAGATATTTCTCAAGCTGGAGGAGTGCCCAGTTTACCAGCTGAGAGGTGCAAAGGAGAGAAAGGGGTGCTTTTGCCAAGTGCCCACTTTCTACAGGCAACTGCCTGCATGGGGCCAGCCCCTCCAGCCTTCTGGCTTTGGGAACTGTCCCTAAGCCTGAGATGGAGGGCCTGCACCACAATCTCGTGAGTGGCCCTGTGCACAGCACCTCTGGTGGGTCCTGGATCCGAGCATGTGCTCTCACATACAGAGCCCTCATTTGGGTGTAAGGAAAGTGGCTAGTGTCTCCTCCTATGATCTGGTGTTCGTACCCGTGTCCAGCTGAGCAGGGACAAGCAACTGCAGACAGGTGGTAGGGTGGAGGGCAGGGTCAAGTGAGCAGCATTCTGCCTTCACCCGCTGGCTCATGATGGATGTGTGGTCTTCCCTCGGTCCATGGGGATGAGGAAGGTACCCAGCAGGGAGGGCTGCCAGCCCATGGAGGGCAGGAGCAGTGCCAGGTTGTGGCGATCTGCAGGTGGCCAGGCCTGCAGCGCTTCTGTGCGCTTGACCTGACGGACCCTGTTAGTCCTGAGAGACTGCAGTTCTTCCCTGCAGCGATCCTATGTCCCTTCACCACATGTCCCTGGGCAGGCTCTTCCCGGCGTGTTTGTGCCACGTGACCACCCCTGAGCCAGTCGCTGTGGGTGGGGAGAGTTAGAGTTCCCAGTGGACGTCATGTGTTCTCTGCGAACCCAACAAGGCTGAAGGGATCATCTCCAACCCCAACTAAGTGTGGGTTTCTCCTAGTTACGAGAGAAGGGGTGCCGGGCGCTGATGACCCATGCCTGTAATTCTAGCTACTTGGGAGGCTGAGATTGGAAGGATTGAAGTTCCAGGGCAGCCCTGAGTTCAAAGCCCAGTCCCACCAAGAAAATAAAAGAGAGAGAAGGGGGGACACACTTGCACACCAAGTGACCAGAGACTCATTAATTAGAGATACCCAGCATCAGGGAGGTGAGTTGTTCAGGAGAGGGGGGCGAGGGCACTGGGCAAGCGGTGTGGGAAAATAGAATGGTGGTGATGCTGGTTTTGATCTCCCTTCCAGAAAAGTTGCCAGACAGCCAGCATTGCCACTGCTGAAGCGTCTGTGCAGGCCCGGAAGTGTGCTGATGCCCAGGTGCAGACAGAGGCTCCTGTGCCTGTGGCTACACTGCCTGTGTCCCGGCACGACAGCCCCCGGCTTGCAGCCTTCCTCCGGAGGGTGGAGGCCACGGTCATCCGGGAGCTAAACAAGAACTGGCAGAGCCACGCCTTTGATGGCTTCGAGGTGAACTGGACTGAGCCGCAGGAGACGGTAAGGCCAGGCTGCTGGTCCTGGGATGGTGCCCCTCTGTGCAGTCACTGTGGTCCACTTTAGGTGGCAGTAGACCCAGTACTAGCTGTCAAGCACCAGGCTCTTACTTTCTGCCTAGTCCTAGGCTGGGGCTTGTGGGATTAGATCACTCCCTCCTGTCCCAGGAGCAGATGCTGTCAGATTGTCCATCTTCCAGCCAGGGAGGTGGACGTCACGGTGCAGGCGCCTTTCCCAGGATGAAGTGGAGCGGGGCCTCCCATGCCCACTCCCCAGGCTGGCGCTGTTCTGAGGGATCTACTGTTGCATCTGTCCTCCTCAGGATGGCTGTGTGAGCTAGGACTGTGTGACCTTCATTTTACAGATGAGATTCAGAGAGGCTGAGTGACTGGCCCAAGGTCACACAGCTATGGACTGGCCGAGCTGGGACTTTAAGCCTGGGCTCTTTGGTTTCACTATTGTACCTGTGCTCCAATTCCCTTAGGCCCTTTTGTGGTGTCGTCTTTAGATTTTAAGTTGTGCTGATCACTGTAACAGTGATGATGTTATGGTAGGGTGCAATACACGTAGATTGCTTTTTAATGTAGACACTCGAGTATGACAAAGAAGCGCCCAGATGAGAGTGGAGGCTGGTGATTTTCCCCAAAGTGACAGTGTCTGTGGAAGCAGAGCCCAGATGAAGGCACTGCCTGTTACACACCCGAGGCTTCCTCATGCACCATCCATCTCATTCCCGGAAGAGCCTTGTGCTCTGCCATCCAACTCCATCCTTACCAGCACTGGGATTTGAACTCAGTGCCTCACACTTGCTAGGCAGGGGCTCTTACTGCTTGAGCCACTCACCAGCCCTGTTTTGTGTTGAGTATTTTTGAGATAGGGTCTGTTAGAACTGTTTGCCCTGGCTGGCTTTGAACCATTATCCTCTTGATTTTTGCCTCCAGAATAGCTAGGATTTCAGGTGTGAGCCACTGGTGCCTGACTGAAAAAGGTGATTTTGTGTTTTTTAAAAAATTTATTTATTTATTTATTGGCAGTTCTAGGGCTCAAACTCAGGGCCTTGTGCTTGCGAGGCAGGTGCTCTACCACCGGAGCCCTGCCCCCACCCTCCTAAGGGCATCCCTTGTGACTGTCTCCTTCACTGACCCAGCATGTCAGACTTGACCTTGGCAGTGCTTCTAGGAGTGCAGTTTAGTGAGCTTGAGAACAGCCAGGCCACTTTCTGGCTGTGGACCCAGCGTGTGGACCCCCAGTGAGTGTTCCACCATTCTGGTCTGGAGCTGGTATGGGCCCTGTTTCTGACTTCACTTTTTTGGGTTCTGGAAGCAAAATGTCCTGTTAGGGCAAATGTTAGGATGAAGGCTCTGCGTTTCCCTCCAGGACTGGGCAGTGGAACTGGACAGCTTTTAGGGCTTGGGCTGCCTAGGTCAGGTGTGGCCATGAGGCTACTTGCTGGGGGTTTTGGAGCTCAGGCTTGGGGATGGTCTCTCTCTGCAGGTGTCGTGTCTGCACACCCTGGGCTACCCCCCAGCTCAAGGGCAGGGTCTGCACGTGACCAGCATTTCCTGGAATGCCGCAGGCTCCGTGTTGGCCTGTGCCTATGGGCGGTGAGTGGCATCAGAGGTGGTGGAGGGCAGTGGGAGACCCCAGGATTCATCTGGGCCTCTGTCTCCCCAGCTGTGTTGTGGAGGGTCAGCCCCAAGAGTGTGGCCATTGTA